TTTTTTTTTCTTTTTTTTTTTTTTTTTTTTGGCTTTTTGAGACAGGGTTTCTCTGTGTAGCTCTGGCTGTCCTGGAACTCACCCTGTAGACCAGGCTGTCCTCGAACTCAGAAATCTGCCTGCCTCTGCCTCCCAAGTGCTGGGATTAAAGGTGTGTGCCACCACTGCCCAGCTAAGACTGTCTCTTTGGTCTACAGAGTGAGTTCCAGGACAGCCAGGGCTACACAGAGAAACCCTGTCTCAAAAACAAAACAAAACAAAACAAAACAAAACAAAACAAAAGAGAGAGAGAGAGAGAGAGAGAGAGAGAGAGAGAGAGAGAGAGACAGTCTTGTTCTTAATTTTTATAAATGCTTTTCAAAATTTTCTCTAATAGACTAGACTAATTTTCATTGCAACTTTGAGACAGTAAAACACTTTTAACCTCAAGAGAAATTTTCCAACCAATTGAACAGGACTAAGTCATTCATAAAAGGATTAGGATGCTCACATTATGATCTTGCAAATTTTAATATGAGCATGATATAGAAGTCAGCCAGTGTCTGGAACAGGGCTTGTGGTGAAAGGGTTCAGAGAAAAGCTGCTAGGCTGGCCTGGCTGGATGAAGCGCCTCTACAGATCCCATGCCAGCATCTCTGTTGCCCTCTGGTGGTCATTCCCCAGTAGTGACAACTCTTCCAGAATATTTCCAATAAGCTATTGTTGTAGTCAATTACTTCCCGTACAGCACCCTGTAGGCAGCCATATTTTATCATTCCTGATTACTAAATACATGATGTAAAATTAATGTGGATCAGGCTAATTTAAGCTAAAATTCCTTCTGTATCTTGAGTCAATTAGCATGCAAACTAAAAGTGTCCAGCTACATATTCAGTTTATCGGATTCTTGGCACAGATGTTATCTCTCCATTAATAGATTGCTGTTTCCTTAGGGGGGAAACATGCAGAAGTATCCATTTTCTATTATTCTCCCTTTCACAGTTTTCTCCACTGGAAGGGGGTGGAGGGAAGTTAAGTCTTAGATTTAGTTATTTACATCCTCAAAACATCAAAGGTGGGCAGACACAGAAAGTACCTCTCTCTCCTTAGACCCCAGGCTGGCCTCAGACTCACTCTGCAGCAAAGAAAGACCATGAACTTCTGGTCTTTCCACGTTCACATCCCAAGTGATGAGATTCTAGGTGTATAGCAGCATGCTGACGGTGGGGATCACAACCAGGGCTTCGTGTACACTGGGCAAGCTCTCCCAACTGAGCTACAAAACTAGCTCTCTCTACCCTCTCCCCTCAACTCTCTCTCTCTAAGCAGGGTTTCATTGGGCCCCATCTAACCTTGAACTACTGATCTCCCTTCCTCAACCTCCCAAATGCTGGGATTACAGGCATGGACCACCACACTCAATTAGCATTTACATTTCTGAGTGTGTAATACCCAACCCAATAACTCTGCCTCAGAGCCCACTTTGGCCACATGTATGGTAGGCTGGGTGTGTCAGAAAAATAAGGCAAAGCAAGGCCAACCCTCAACTGATGAGTTTAGGAGTTGGCATAGAAATAAAACTATGGACTAAACTGGGTCCCCTCCCCAAACTCTTACATTGAAGTCCAACCCCCCAGGACCTCAGAATGAGACTTGGTTAAGAGATGGGATCTTTAGAGAGGTCATTGAGGTAAATGAGGTCCTGAGGGTGACTCTTCAGTGCAACTGGTGTCTTAGAGAAGGGGGGGGCAGGGAGAGAGGGAAGAAGGGAAGGGGGAGGGAGGGAGGGAGGGAGAGAGAGAGAGAGAGAGAGAGAGAGAGAGAGAGAACAGAAAACACTGGGAAGAGAAAAGATGACTGTCTACAATTCAAGGAGAAAGGCCCGCAAGACTGAACTAGCCTGCGTCTTGATTGCTAATGGCAAGCCCCAGAACTGTGACAGTGAATCTCCTTTGTTTAAGTCACCCAGGTTATAGTACTTCAGAGGTCCAGCTTTCTAATACAAACACTGTCATCCTTGGGTTGATCTGCTTTGTCCTGTTTTCCAGTTTCCTCCAGGGAAATTAAAGCCCAGTCCCCCACGATGGCAACTTACTAAATAGCACACTTCTAAAGGGAGGGGGAGGGGCAGGAATGCCTATCTGTCTCTGTGTCCATGTGGCACAGATATATATGTGCACAGAGCTCAAAGGACATCTAGTAATCATTTTTTTCCTCCTACCATAGGTTCCAAGGGTCAAACTTGGGTCCTCAGACTGGTTTGGCAAGCGTCTTTTGGACTGAAGCATCTCGCTAGCCCTGAAAGCACGCTCTATCTCCACGTCCTTCTCATCTGGACCTCATTTCCTCTTCCACTGCTGCTTTACATACAAACCTCCTACACTGTGTGATCTCAAGTGCTTCTCTTGGGATGTCCTTCTAGGTGACTTCAAGCTAAGACAGCTGACACCAGAAACGGTACTTGAAAATGTCTAGACAGAATCATCTCGTGGCTCCAGCCAGCCAGAAGCCAAGGTTGTCCCTGGAGAAGAAGGGTGACCAACATGTCTGAGCTGCAGCCTCACCATCACTAAGGACTCTCCTATAGCCAGGAGGAACTCAGGCAAAAGAGCTGATGCAACATAGTAGCATTTAAAACCACTGAGTAAGCATAACTCTAAGGCTGGCATTGTAAGCAGTGTTACCAGCTGCTGTCGCTGCACTGAGGGAAATCACAAGCTCAGGACACCCAGAGAATAATGGAGGAGGAGCCAGGGAGCGGCTGTGACAGCATTTAAAGAGGTGAACAAAAACAACAAGGGTAGGCATTTTGTAAAAGCATAATGTAAATATGAATATGAAAAGAAATTATGGCAGTTCTATATTGCTCTAGCTTCTTCAGATCCCATGAGTCGTTGGGCAGGCACATCAGTCATCCATCATACACTGTAAACAGTCTATTCTGCCTGTGCGTGGTGGTACTTAGCTGGAATATCAGCACTCAGGAGGCAGAAGCAGGAGGATCCTGTGCTCAAAGTCAGCTTCAGATACTGTAGTGGTTTGAATATGCTTGGTCCAGGGAGTGTCACTATTAGTAGGTGTGGCCTTGTTGGAGGAAGTGTGTCACTATGGGAGTGGGATATAAGATCCTCATCCTAGCTGCCTGGAAGCTGGTCTTCTCCTGATTGCCTTTGGAACAAGTCGCTGAATTCTCAGATCCTCTTGCACCATGCTGCCTGGATGCTGCCATGCTCCCACCTTGATGATAATGGACTGAACCTCTGAACCTGTAAGCCAGCTCCAATTAAATGTTGTCCTTATAAGACTTGCCTTGGTCATGGCATCTGTTCACAGCAGTAAAACTCTGACTAAGAGCTGGGCGGTGGTGGCACATGCCTTTAATCCCAGCACTTGGGAGGCAGAGGCAGGCGGATTTCTGAGTTTGAGACCAGCCTGGTCTACCTAGTGAGTTTCAGGACAGCCAGGGCTACACAGAGAAACCCTGACTAAGAGACACCCAGCAAGAACCTGCTTCAGAAAGGGTGGGCAAGGATCAAGCACATTACCTCAGCAGATGAGGCAGACACGTCAGTTACCTTCCTCTCTAGCATCTATACCTCTCCTTTACCTCACAATTGGCTAACAGAAGATTCCTTCAACCCAGCTGACAGAGAAGGAAAAGGCACAGGAGCGGTTTGAGAACAGCCCAGTTCTGCATTCACTGTTTATGTGGATGCGGCCTAGTGCCACATTGCAAAACTCAAGAATGACTGAAACAAGTAGGTACTGTGTCAGTCAGTCCAGCTGGTCACCAAGCCACCATGAGGGGAGACACACCCAAGGTGAAGGATGGTGGGTTGGACAGGGAACCAAAGACAGAACTAGAGAAGTGAGTGGGTAGGCTTGTGCAAATTAGCAAAACATGTGCAACTTTGTATCTCTTACTAGTACCTATAAGAAATCGCCACTGCTACTGCAAGAGGGATCAGAACTGTGTAACCAGGATAACTCATCCAGTGAACTATGCTGGACTCTGTCCTTGGCCACCCCAGTGCTTCCTTGCTAGGCTCATGAACAGAAAAGTCACCATTAGAGAAATGAGATGATACAAGGACCCTCCACTGACCGCATGGGCTCTAGTGACTACTGTTGAGCCTGTATATGTTGCTGCTGAATGTTAAATCTGTTACCATGCCTCCAAAAGGTCAGCCAGTGAACTGAAACTGTCAAATCTCTTCCACTCTGTGGAAGATAAAGGAAAGGACTTCTCCAATGCAGGCTGGACCCCAAGAATAGGTTTGTCCTTTAGTCTACAGTGTCTGTCCGGTTTATAGAGTACCTGATGTCTCATATGAAATTTCATTTAACATTACCTCAGATGAGTGTTTCTCAGTTAGATTTTCATTATTGTCCTTTTAAACACTTCCCTAATTGTCGCTCTCCTGAAACTTTAATACAGCAGGATATATTGTTTCTTTATCAGATGCTATGAAAGTGCTTTAGACCTATAAGAGAAGAGGTGGCGAGAGCTTGGGGACTACAGAGATGGCTCAGTGGGTGAAGCACTTTCCCTGCAAGTGTGAGGACCTGAGTTCTGATCCCTAAAACTCACATGGAAGCCAGATGTAGTAAGGCACATCTGTAATCCCAGGGCTTCTACAGTGTGGGAAGTAGGGCCAAGAAAATCCCTAAAAACTCAAATGCCAGCTAGTCTGCCATACATGGTAGCAAGGAACAGAAGATCCTGTGTCAAACAAGGTGGAAGGCAATGAGTAACACCCAAGGTAATCAATCCTCTGACCTCCACAGGAACCCAAACTCACTCATACACATACCACACACACACCACACACACATACCACACACACCACACACACATACCACACACATACAAACACACACCACACACACACACCACACACACACACCACACACACACACCACATACACACACACACACCACACACATACTTATACACGCACACGAGGAAGTATGTACAGCTGAAAATGGATGAGTGTTTAAGACAAGAATACAAATTAAATCCCAAATCATCAGAAACTTTTATTTAATTCATGTCAAGCAGAAAAAAAAAGCCATAAAATATTATTTTACACTCATGAAACACATTTACATCAGTTATGCTGATTAACAGAAAATATAAATCATTGAAGACCAACAATAAATAATATACTTAAAAACAGAATGTTCTATGTTCAATAGACAATTTCTTGAAGTTATCCAGTTTGGGGAAGTCAATGGACCTTTGCAAACCTGAGTTTCTCAAAAGGATGCCCAACTGGTGCAAACTTCCTGTCGTGGCATGAGGCTGCACGGCCGGGTGCGCCTTATATTGAAATCGGGGGAAACAGCTGATCTTTGGGTAGGGAAGGGGTTGAGATGGGTTCTCACTATGTATCCAGGCCGATCTCAGACTCACAGCCCTCCTGTCTCAGCTTCCAGCAGGCTGAGATTACAGGCAGGCACTCCCATACTCAAGTTTCAATCCTATTTTAATCAATTTGTCCAAAGTCCTGGGAGAGCTATTGCACAGAGAACAACGTGATTTTCCTTTGCAGTGGCACAGACATTTACAACACACCAATAAGAAGCCTTGCTGCAGACTTTGTCCTAACTACAGTGTCTACTTTCTTGGGTGTAAAATGCCATATACACAGTGCATGATCTCCCTGCCATGAGAACGTCCCTTTAAATGTTCCAGAGCACAGCAGAAGGAGACTTTCTGTAAAAATCTGAGATTGAACTTGAACTTTAAAAATCCTAAACTCTTTTGAGGAATAGTTAAAATAGCATATCTTTTTTTAATCTTATTTGTTTTCCAACTGTACTGTCTCGAAAATCAGATGGAGTTGGCCATCTACATACAGACTGCCACAACTTAATCAGCAGCCCCCCAACATAACTTCCTAGACACAAAAAGGGTGTACTTTACCATCCAGGGCCCTCATAGATTAAAAACTCTCTCCTGTGGTTTATTCAATAGGTTGCATTTTTTATAAAAATAATTCTGACACTTAAATTCCAGTCATTTTATTAGCTGAAAAAAATGTTAGCCAAATATCCTTTTTAAATGTAATGTGTGCGTGTGCGTCTGTGTCTGTGTGTCTGTCTGCCCACATGCATGTCAATCACTGCTATGCACATGTGTGGAGGCCAGAGGCCAACGTGGAATGGGTTGTCTCCTTCCATCTTTCTGTGGGTTCCAGGGATGGAGCTCAGGTCATCAGGCACAGACTCTTTACTCCCTCATTCAGCCTGCAGGAGCATGGCAGCCACACCAAGGGCTAGAACTGTGCCACAAAGTTATGCTCTAGGTCTGGTTCTGTCTCTTGTTGGCTGTCAGAATTGTAAGGAAACTGATCTCACCCTGCTGGGTCTTGTTTTTCATCTGTGAAATGAGCAAGTCCAATCAGATGCTTCTAAGTCATCCAGCTAAACACAAAGGTAATTTCAAACACTGCACCACTGAGAGAGGGTGCCTCTTTTTCCACGGCCCTCCTTCCCACAGCCCAAGGAGCATCTTTGGAAACTGGCACCATCCTCCGCAGCCCTGTTCAAGCTGACACTCAGAATCCAGAGTGGCTTTGCTTCCCTGACAGGAAACAACACTCATAACCTTAGTAACTAGCCAGGAAATAATAATTCTTCCTTTTAGGGCAGTGTGTAAACTCTCTGAGGGGAAAAGGGACTCTGTAGAACTCTACTCGGCTAGGTTGAGTCAAATGTCTACTACAAATTTAAAATATCAAAAAAAAGTTTCAACAAGGGGTCACATCAAAGTCTTCATGATTGGCTTGATTTGGTTATGGATTGTGCTGTTCTCAGGGTCTCTCGTCATGTCATAGAAGCAGTAGCTGAGGAAAGCTTTCTCTTCTGAAAGAAAATAGCACAGACATTTCATTTGAATGATCTGTTCATACTGGCTGAGGAGTGTGCTTGGTCAAGAAAAACAAACGGTGAACAGAGAGTCTCCATCACCACGGGAGGTCTTCATGGTAATAACACGTGCACTGATATTTTTGATGCACATATTTTTAATTCAAAAATCATCATCTGTGTTTATTAAGCATGCTAGAATTAAACACAGAAATAACACCTAAGATCAACAACTACTGAACAAGTTACTAATGCCCAATTCTCTTGTGAAATTTCAACCCCTAAGGTACCTTCAAACATATAAATAGTGTAATACATTGCAGAACTGAATTAAATAAACCAGGATCCTTTCCTTAAGATTCTCTGAAACTGAGGCTGGAGAGATGACCCAGTAGATAAGAGAACTTGTTACTGTTCCATGAGACCTAAATTTAGTTCTCAACACACATCTCAGGCAACTCACAGCTGCCTGTAACTCCAGCTTCAGGAGATCCAACACTCTCCCCTGGACTCTGTGAACAACTGCACACATGTAGGAGATGAGCGGGAGCACACTTTTAAAGTTCTCTGAAGTTCAGTCAATCATATATGAACAAGCTGAGCCCCTATTCATTGACCTGGTTTAGACATCAAAATTATACAGTTTGAGAGAGACAGCTCATTAAATACGGAGGCATTGGCATCTCCAGTTCACACAGCAGATTCCTGAACTCAGGGGAACTAGAGATCTATATCAAGTGCTAGTCTTAAACTTGTAGCATTTGTGCTTTATCCAGATATGAGCAGGAAACAAAGAAGTAAAATATATGTTTTATATAAATTGATAATATATATGTTTAATATATAAATATATATAATTTATTTAATAAGCTCTTGGGAGCTTGGCCAGTGCTTGGTCCCTCAGCTGTCATTTGCACTACGGTCCAGAGAGTAGACCTGCTGATGGGTGATTCACTTACCATGTCCCTGCTTGGTCTCTGAGAAAGAGACAGTCATATGAAGAAGACATTATGACAGGTTGTAAAGACTACAATTTATATTATATTTATACCTATCTCGAGAATGAAAAATTCTATGTCTTCAGTTTTCATCTCTTTTATAGCAAAGTTACTCTCATCTTAAACATATTTTTGAATCAATTTAAGGTCTTCTATTCCATACAAATTGATACCAGATAATTATTCTATTTAATGGAGACAACTTGGCTCCCGTCTGCGTAGCTAACTGGGGGTAAGTCAGCCGAGTAGGTGGTTTGAGGCCTTAAGCAATGTTTGATATGCTAATCTCCCCGTGCTTTCCGGTGGGTAGAACATGGGACTTAACAAATCACCAGAGAACGCTGCAAAAACCTGTTTTGTTTCATAACTGACAGTAATGTCATCGATACCAGGAAGAGACGGAGTGACACTTTTCCAGGTCTGCCATGACATGACTTCCTGCATCCAGCCACCCATTCTCCCTGTCACTCCCCAAAAGTCCCAAGATCAGAAAAAAATGCAAATGGTCCAACTCTTCAATACAGTTTTCACCAAAGAAGTAGGACTTGTCTCGTTATAGACAGATGAGAAACTCTAAGACAAACCAGAAATGAATTTTTTTTTCTTGCAGATAGATCCTTCCTGCCTTCTCTTTGGATGCTGTAATCCCTATAGAGTTACATGCTAGGCTCAGCCTGCCTGGGCAAAAATTACAATGTACAAGGACTTTCCTTCAGTGTTGCTTTTGGCTTCTGAGGCATTTTTCACATTGTGGCTGAGTGCCCAGAGAACAGCCACTGTGCAGTCACCTCTGCAGCTGTGACTGGCTAGCAGCGCTGAAGCCTCCAAGAATCCTTGTGATTTACTAGTTCAGATGACAACCTGTGACCTGGTACAGAATGACTGACCCCTCTGGTCCCCTTCTGTGTTTGGTGACTGTGATACCATTTATACAGTTTTCACTGACTTCTCCCTTCAGGGAATAAGGAGTACATTTAAAGACTGAGAATCGTGTGTGTTTTGCTGAAATGCAGTTGTATAAAAGCTACAAAAAGGGCTGAGCAAATTTTAGAGAGCCATACCATAATGAAAAACAAAGGGGAAATGTCCTCTTTACAGGCTCCAGTCAGCCTGTGTGGTACGGCTCTAGAGGCAAGCCTGAAGGAAGCCTGATGCTAGACCTGGCCTCCTGGTGGTGCTCAGAGCTGAAGGCTTCTGAAATGCAGATCACCCGGAGCACAACAGGATTCCAGGAAGATTAAAGACTCTTACCTCCACTGATGTCACTGATAGAGCAAACTGTAATCTTCAACCAAAGAGTAATCAGGATCATCTGCAAAGGGAAAGGCACAGAACAGAATTTAGCTAATCGTTCTTGTTAACCCAGTGGTTCTCGACCTGTGGGTCATGACCCCCACAGAGGTCCCATATCAGAGATTTACATTACAATTCATAATGATAGCAACATTACAGGTATGAAGTAGCAACAAAAATAATTTTATGGGTGGGGTCACCACAACATGAGGAACTGTGTTGAGGGTCTCAGCATTAGGAAGGTTGAGATCCAGTGCTTTAGCCCCTATCAAACTAAATGCCTTCCATTTCAAGGCAACTGCCTTCTTATAATGATTAACTACATCAAAATACAAAATATGGACACCAAAGCCTGTGCTTAGTAGTCATGACTACAAACCTGAGAAGATTCCAGAAATCACTATTACGACTTGTTTTTTGTTCATTCCCACATTAGCATCCACAGTAAAGTCATCATCAAAAAATAGACTAAAATGAAGTCACATTCGTAAGTGGTAATTATATGGCAGTAAGAAATAAAACAACTGGGGCTGGAGAGATGGCTCAGTGGTTAAGAGCACTGACTGTACTTCCAGAGGTCCTGAGTTCAAATCCCAGCAACCACATGGTGGCTCACAACCATCTGTAATGAGATCTAATGCCCTCTTCTGATGTGTCTGAAAACAGCTACAGTATATTCATATATAATAAATAAATAAATAAATAAATAAATAAAAAAGAAAGAAAACAACTTAAATATCATTTAAATATATTATCTCAACCACTACTTTTAAATTTTTTAGTATGTGTTTATTGTGTACATCTGCATATATGTTTATATGTTCAGCATGTATACAGATGTCAAAATATAACTGATGAGAGTCAGTTCTCTCCTTCCACCATGTGGGTGCTGGACATTGAATGTAGGCTGCCAATCTTGATGGCAAGCACCTTTGCCCACTGAGGCATCTTACGGGCCCCAAAGTTTTCAACAGCCATTACATTTTTACTGAGATGCCAAATCAGCAGAAGTGGACCCTCCCCTCAATCTCCTTCGAACACAGCTACTTAAACTATTCTTGCCTGAAATGGTTCATTGTTAAGCACCTGCTAGGCATCTAATACTACACTAAGGGCTGGAGAGGATAAAAGACAAAATGCCCCTCTTCAAAGGTGTGGTAATTAACCGGGGAACACAATGAGACAAAGGTCGCTGCTGTGTGTGGTTCTCTTGGAGGTACTGCAGCAGAAAAGGGAGATCAAAGTGAGCAGCAAACAAGTCCTTTTAGTCAGTGTGCACCAGGATAATTAAAGGCTGTACAATGAGATCCTGTCTTAAAAGCCTTAGAGTGAACTCCAAACACAGATACAGTCTCTTAGGAACGCGATCCTATCAGGCATGTCCAGACAGCCACAATGAGCCACATGCAGCTTGGGGTAGCTATGAATGTGGCCCAACACAAACTCAAAAACTTACTCAAGACACTGCAACTATTTGTGATTTTTTTTTCTTTTTGTTAACTAGACTACACTGTTCTCAAGCAAAAATTCTGTAGGTGACAGAGCCATGTCCCAGTGTCAACAAGTCTGACATGCCTGGTTCTTTTTTGGTTTGGTTTAGTATTTGTTTGCTTGGTTTTTCAAGACAGGGTTTCTCTGTGTACCAGGAACTTGCTCTGTAGACCAAGTTGGCCTCAAACTCACAGAGATTGGCTTGCCTCTACCTCCTGAGTGCAGGGATTAAAGGTGAGTGCCACCACAGCCCAGCTCATGCCTGGTTGTTATTTGCATAGTCTAGCTAGTCAATCTTAAAGAACATCCGACCAAAAATTCGACCAAAAATTCACAAGAGGCTCTTCCTGGTGGCATACCTGGTATACGCTTAGGAACTGGGAGAGGTCCTCTCCTGTAAGAGATGAAAATCAAAGTCTTTCAGGTGAGTTCTAATTATTTTTATAACTTTCTACTTCATGCTACAAACATATCTATATTTATATGATCATACTGTAATCAACTGGCTCCTATCCTAGAGAGGCAAGAAGGCTCAGATGAGGCAAATGATTCGCAGCTCTGGCCTGCAGAAACCCAAAGGGCATACACATAAGGCACACAGTAATAAGGAGTGCAGAGCTCTGCCCAGGGGCTGCTGGCAGGATTTTCATCTTAGCTGATGAAAGAAAATTTCCTGATCTTCCAGAAGGTCAAAAATCTTTGCACATACAGTGAGAAACAGCTCTACCACACAATGAGAGTTAGGCCCCTAATTCCTATTAACGATTTTGAATGGTCCTTCCTCTTAACAGTGTGCTCTGTTCTCTCCCAAACGCTGTCCATTTTTGCTAAAACTGGATGGAAAACTCAACAGATGAGATCCCACCCCTCCCCCTACCAGCCACTGACTTTGTGTGACGTAAAGTTTCTTTCCCCTGCAGGCCCTTCATATTAGGAGCAACACATTTTCCATGCAATGGATGCAGTGGAAGTGGCTTAGCTTTGCTGGCCACAGTATCCCTGGAGCATCTCTACTCAGACTTGGTAGAAAAGAACCAGATAAAAAGTGTGATTCACTAGCTCCAATAGCTCTCTATATGAACACCAAGATTTGAATTTCATATAATTTTCACATCATTAAAGGGTATCCTTCTGGTGCTTTCCAGGCATTTATAAATATTAGCCAGGGCTGGGGAGATGGGTCAGTGATTAAGAGTACTTGATACTCTTCTAAGAGACCCAAGTTCAGCTCCCAGTACCCACAATCAGAAGCTCACAACAGCCTACAGCTCCAGTTCAAGGGAACCTGATGCCCTCTTGTAGTCTCTGTGGATGCTCACATACACATGGCATACAACAACACAGACAGAGACACATACACATAAATAAAAATAAATTTAAAAAACCATAAGCTATGTGTAATGGCTTACTCAAGTGCTGGAGTAGAAAGATCTCTGTTAGTTTAAGGTCAGCCTAGGTTAGAGTGAGAACCTGTCTCAAATACACACAATACACACACATACACACATGCACATATACACACATGCACACACATACACACACACATACACACACATATACACACATATGCACACACATACACATGTACACATATGCACACACATATACACACATGCACACATATATACACATAGAGGTGGTAGTGTAGAAATCTTTCTTAACTCATAGGCCCTATGGGAAGAAGTAGATCAGATCTGACATATGGGAACAGGGGATAGCTTGCTTATTCGTGTTTTCTACCAGAAAAGTGCCTTCTGAAGTGAAGGCACAGAATTCATAAACAAGTAATAATGGCCATGCTCAAGTACACTATAGTACCCCCAAAAAACACAACTAATAAAAGCTATATAATTTGTTCCAAAAATGCTATTTCAAAAAAAAAACTAAGTTTCCTTACTAGGTAAAATATATAAATTTTGTCAATTAAAAATAAATGGCAATGTCTTAGATCATTAATAGTAGAGACATCTATGAAAATATTTTTTCTTCACAAGAAAAGCAGCTAGTTATTACCTTGCTGGATTGGGCCCTGTAGTCTTTCCTGGTGGGGCAGCATTTCGCTGAGGAGAGTAGAAATTCTCATACATGATGGGTGCTACAATTTTTAAGACACAAGACATCAGAAGCATGTAAAGGCTGGGCTGTCATGCAGTTGGTACAGCACTTGCCCAACATGCACAGAGCCTTGAGTTCATCACCTGTCACTACATAAGATAGGCTGGGGTGTACATGCCTGTCCCTGGGCCTGCCTCTTAGGAGATGGAGGCAGAAAGATCTGGAATTCAATGTCAGCTATACATCAAGTTTAATGTTAGCCTAGAATACATGAGACCCTGTCTCAAGAGAGAGAGAGAGGAAGAGAGAGAAAGAGAGAGACACAGAGACACAGAGAGACAGAGACAGAAAGGATGGAAGGAAGGAAGGGAGGGAGGGAGGAAGGAAGGAAGGTAGGAAGGAAGGAAGGAAGGAAGGAGAGAGAGAAGGAGAAAGAGAGAGAAGGAGACAGAGGAGGGAGGGAGAGGAGGAAGGGAGAGGGAAGGAGAGGGAGGGACAGGGAGGGAGAGAAGAAGAGAAAGAAAAAGGTAGGAAGATCTGGAATGGTCCCCAAGAGCCCATGTATGTCAGAGCCTTTGTCCCCAGCTCAGCAGCAATGGAAGGCAATCGATTGGATCTTTAAGAAGTATAGCCCAGAATAAACACACCAGGAGAGGTCATTGGAGGCATGCCCAGGTCTCTTCCTCTTTCACATCTTCCTAAAATGAACAGTCTGCTCCGCCATGCTCTACCATAGTGTGCCAACTCCCTACGGCCTCAAAAGTAATGGCATCAGCTGCTGGACTGGAGCCTCGAAAACTGACCAAAATAAACCTTTCTCTCCTAGGCTGATTTATGTGCGATATCTGTTACAGCAGCAGAAGCTGAGTTGTACAGAAGGTTCCTGAGCCGTAGGACAAGAAAGGCTAATACTGTTGTGGAACTGTCCCTCACACCATGCCTCCCGGATCACCTGGGGGAGTCTGTCCAGTTTTCCGATGGTTCACAAAATACTGGATGTCCTTCTCAATGCTGCATGTTTCTAAACTCTTACGGACTTGTTCATACATCTGATAAAAACAAAATAAAGCATTATGCAGAAGCTTATTGATGGCCCTTACGGTACCACTCTATGTAAAGGGACTTTCATGAACAGCTGACTCTTCTGCAGCTTTTGTTTTGAAAATAAACGCATTCCCAAGACCTTTTTAAAAAGTGTTACTGGCCTTAAAATACCCAAGATTCAATTCACAAGCCACATGAAGCTCATGAAGAAGGAAGACCAAGTGGGGGTGCTTCAGTCCTTCTTAGAAGGAGTAACAAAATACTCAAGGGAGCAAATATGGAGACAAAGTGAGGGACAGAAACTGAAGGAGGGGCCGTCTGGAAACCATTCTACCTGGTATCCACCCCATGTGTAGTCACCAAAGGTAGATACCGATGTGAATGCCAGGAAGTGTATGCTGACAGGAGCCTGATATAGCTGTGTCCTTAGAGGTCTGCAAGAGTCTGACATATTCAGAGGCAGATGCTCACAGCTAACCATTGAACTGATCGTGGGGTTTCCAATGGAGGAGTTAGAGTGCAGACTGTAGGAGCTGAAAGCGTTTGTGGTCCCATGAGGAGAGCAACAATACCAACCAAACAGAGCTCCCAGGGTCTAAACCACCAGCCTGGTTGCACTTAGGGAGGGATCCATGGCTCCAGCTGTATATGTAAGGGTGGAGGGCCCTGTTGGGCATAGGTGGGAGAAGAGATCCTTGGTCTCATGAAGGCTGGATGCCCCAGTGGGTGGGAATTTGAGGATGGGGAGGTGGAAGTGGGGGGGGGTAGGTAGGGATACATCTGCAGAAAAGCAGGAGGAGGGGTGAGGGGCTAGAGGTTCCGGGGGGAGGGGGAGGGGGAGGGGGTAAGGGGATAACATATGAAATGTAAATAAAGCATCCAATAAAAAAAAAAGTGTTACTGGAACTAAGAAACTCTATGCCAAGTCTCATGATTTAATTCCTATGACCGAGTCCCAATGCCACACACAAATGCAAACACAACTCCTTATCCCGAGGATAAGTTCTTCCATTCGATTCTATAGTTTTTCTGGACATCTGACCTTCCTTCTAAAGTCAGTGTCTCATATGAATGAGTGGGGCTGTTTCTTAGCAAAAACTAAGATACCCGGGTCTGGTATCTTTGCTATCTGGGGACCCAGTTACTATGGCTGTGCACAGGTTAATTCTGGCTAAGCACCATGATGATACTGAAACAAGTCCTCCTCCTGGAGTGGATGAACCAGCCTGGGCGTGGCTCAGTCTGCTGCTGCTTGGCACAGGGCAAAGTGATGGCAGTCCACACTGGAGCTGTCTTCGGGATTCACAGTCTTCCGTCTTCCACACATCCAACTGTGTTTGGGTCTTATTATTTGTTCTCTATCTCTAACTCTCAGCTTCTTAATTAGTGTCACAGTGGTAAAAATGGACCGGAAGTCAGAGCAATGTTTAAGTCACATCTCTTTGTACCTCAGATGGAAGCAGGGAGTGGGGAGAGGATGAACTAAGAAACATTTATGATTCTTTCTGCTCTGCTGAGTCTAACATGCAGAGTACAACATTCCGAGATGACTTACCTCATCATTTGTGACACACTGTTGTGACAGCTGATTCACATGTAACCACAATGCATTCCTGAAGAAGTTGATACGTTCACATTCTTGAGCCTCAAACACCTACAGAAAAACAGTTACATGTACAGGCGTATGTCAAGAAGGGGCATCTATTAGGCTGACTATGACTTAAACAAACTTAACCTATATTGAGGGGTGGGATTAAAGAGAAAGGAAAGCAGAAGACAGTGTTTAGTGTGGACATAGTAGTCCCATAATATCTAACTGCAGATAAACCAAAAAAATAAACCAGTCAAATAAGATAAATTTTTAAAAATCACCAAAGTTGTTTTGAGGGTGTGGCTCGGTGTATTGGTACTCACCTGGCATACATGACACTTATCACCAGCACTATACAAAGGAAAAAGAAATCACAGAGGCCCACTGGACCTCACACCAAGGGCATCTCTGGTATCCATGAGAGAGGAGAAAGCAGGTGTAGAGAAGTAATCTTTAGGCTGAGACAGGAAAAATTATGGCTGGGCTGGGAACGTATCTCAGTAATCGAGCATGTACAAGGGTGAGGTCCTGAGCTTGATTTCCAGGAGAGAGAGAGAGAGAGAGAGAGAGAGAGAGAGAGAGAGAGAGAGAGAGAGAGAGAGA